TCGTTTCCAGGCCAACTTAGTTGCAAGATCGAGAACCTTTTGCTAGAAAATTACAGCTAATTGGACCTTCTTTTAAATATATGACTGAGATCCCTATGTTTCGTACATGACTATTAGCTAAACCAACTAACAAGAGGTCTACACTACTGATAGGTAATATATAACAATAAACGGAATTGAACAGGCAGTAGTGAGTGGGATTTTCAGCTTAATTAAAACTAATAGAAGATAGGCATTTTCAGATGCAGCTATTTTCTATGTAGTCTTTTGCAACCAAAAGTTTAGAAGCTCACTACGGCTGCCATAACTCAAGAAAATCTGTCTTCCGTGTATTTTCAAATGAATGTTGGTCGACTACTTTGTAAAACATCGTGATAAACTTTTCAACGCGAGTGCCACCAATGGAAGAGTGTATTTGGATCTTTACTTCCTATTACTATTTGCCTGTAAATGACGCCATATTATCCGCCAGAGTTGTTCTTGGCGGAGAGGATCCGCATCTTTTGAATTGAGTATCCCGAGCGAGCAGCACCGATATCTTCTCGGTTACTGGTTGAGGCTACTTTTATAAAAGGAAGCTCCATAATAATTTCAAGATACCTATCGTGTTCACTAGAGCGAACGGGAAACAACCGACAAAATGCGGGCGAAACGGTGTTGGTGTTCACTATGACACCAAAAGCAAGAATGATGACGCGCAAAAGCGGCCGAGAGCACCCTACAGGAACGGGTGGGAAGTAAAGCCAAACAAAAAGATTCAAGAATCGGGTCCGCTTTGCTGACATCGAGGATGATGGGCAAAAGCTGTGAGTTATAAGAGGGGCCCCGTGATAAAAAGGAAGAGGGACTTCAAAGAGAATACTATCCTTCTGTTCTCCTTACTAGCCAGCCCCAACCAAGGACGAGAAAAGTATTTTTTGCCTTTTTTTTCTGACTAGCGTAAGACGATCTCTTGTTCCAGCAGATGGGCTAGAGAGGAACTAGCTATAGACTAGGTGTGGATATGATATCTGTCTTTGGGCAGTGTGTGTTATTTAGCTTCGAGAAAGCTCCAATGAAACTAGGCCACCGCAAAAAATAAAAAACAGAAAACGAAAACATGTGAAATAGAATTAGAATGGATAAACAGGAAAAATGTTGGAAATGGATAAGGAAGTATAGGCTTGGCTTGATAGGTTGAAAGAAAACGCCAAAAAAGGGCGACAGCAAACAGAAGGAGAACGCAAAGCAAAAAGGACATAAAAAAGAAAGCCACAGGTAGGAAAAAGGTGATACAGAACGAAACGGAAAATGTGCGGCCTGCATGTGTGCGTTGCCAGCTTCGGCTCTTGACGGACATAGTGACAGAGAAAAACGAAGACGATTCCTCTCACTTCACTTTTTATGCTTGCGGGTACGTGTATTATTAGTGACTGAAGTCCGTGACGTCAGGTGGGAACTACTAAAGGTGTCCAGCTTGTTTTTATTCTAACGAAATTAAGGTTAAGGATAAAAATAAGGTTAAGGTTTAAAATGCGAAGAGCATAAGAAGAGGGCGACTTGTATAAGTACAATCCAGACTGTTTTTGTCTGTCGCGACTTAAGGTAATCTTTAACGCAAATTAAATAAATTATGTGTCAAAGTGGAGTCCTCATATATTGAATTTATGATGGGACTTATTTATACCCAAGTGAAATTCCACATATGCCGGCAAAACAAACCGAAGAGACTACTTTCTATAGATAAACCTATGATCCAAATTTATTTATGAGGATAGGTGCATGTGCTTAAGCGAACTTTATTCAATAGGGTTGTCGTGATATTCGTCAATTTTACTACGAAGCTAATGTCAACTGTTTTGGAAAGCGGTAAAATAACATCAGTAGGCACACGCAAAGTTTACGCAAACTTCCACGATGTTCTAAGAATTTGTAACTCTGTATACATCTATCGTTTTGAATGGCCTAACCTTAAATACGGTAAAGCGTTGCACTATCTAAGTGGCGCCTGCACCAAGACACGTTGAGAGAATCAATATGGTTATACGGCGAACGACTCATATTGCAATGTGTTCTACATGGATGTACGCTATTCTGTAAGCAATATACTTATCATTAGTGCTATATGAAAAGAAGTTTTTGCCTATCTGTGTTATAGGCTTTTTTTAATATAAAAAACTTCCTAAAAACGGGGTGTCTCATAATATATAGTATAATTTAGTGCCTGCTTTGCTTTTTATTTCAGTTCCGGAAGCTGTTACGGTGCTAGACCTAGCTGGACCATTAGCAGCACGTTGATTTTCTTCGAAGAAAAAATTTTTTGACACAAAATATCTACCAAGGTCCCAATTGTTTAGAGCTGATTTCACGTAGCACTACAGGCACGCCAGTAGCTACAGTCACATACTAACGCAAAATCCAGTTATATGGCTAAGCTCAACTAACCACTAGACGCAAACCTGTCAAGTTTTGAAGCATTAGGCATAGTGTGGTGGGGTTGGCCCTGTGGAATATGCACATATTTTTGCCTGCAGGGCGAGGCCTTATCACTTCCGCCGAGTTATTTGAAGTCGATCGATACATTGACCTTATATATGTTAGAAAAGCGTTTCGTCGAGACTCGGCATGAAAAGAAATTGCGAATAAATATATAAGGTGTCTCTGCTTCAGTCGAGTCAATAAGCGCAGCCAGATGATTGGTAGTCAGTTTTTGATAAATTAAAAAAAAAAAAAAGGAAAGGAAAGGAGAGACTGGATTCATCGGGATAAATCCCGTTGTGGTAAACCACGTCCGGCGTAAATATTGTTGGTTCTGCAGTAATTCACAGGGATCGTACCACATGACCTGGTCATTCTTCCTTGAATGCCACTTGTCGTCAGTTGGTTGTCGGAGCCTACGCCATTATTAGCAGCACCTATTTCGAACCCTTGTTGTGATATCGATGGAAAGTCTAGCTAAATCTCTGGTTTCTTATCGAATCTTGTTATCACATTATCCATTTCCCTTTAAATCGCTCAAAGTATCTTTTCGGAAATGTTTGCTCTCTTCCCTCCTGTTTGTCAGATGCTGTCAGCCGCAAAACCCAGTTTGCAACCGGAACTGATACTAAACGATATTTATGTAGTGTACGCCCGCGCAATGGTCCAAGAAGTAAAAGTTTATCTCTGACTTTTTTGCTTTGAGTTCCGTTAATTCCTTAGGCGTAGTTGTCTTTAGTTCCAGACTAATCAAAAGGTAGTAATACTGTAAGCGTTTGTCACACTACCGTGTGCTAAAGGAGTGTGAGGCTGCAATATTCGAAATCGTAACTATCATGCCATAGAAGCTAATCTGCTAGTGGGTATTCGACAAGTGTTCAAAATGGATTTTCGCCCAAGTTTCAGATACTGTTGGACAGGGGCCATCCAGGCTAGCTAGACACCGGAGTCTAAAGAAAAGGAAGTCGGATATAGGCAATTACAAATCTCTGGCCCAATGTGTTATCTCGAATAATATTGCTATTGACTGACTGTCTTTGTATGTTTTTTGCTCAAAAAATTCCACCAAATTATGGTCGATACGGCTTCAAGAAGCACACGTCTACGTGTATTAGACTGGTAAACAGCACGCAGGAATAGGCACTATGTCTAAACAGAAAACTAAACGTTGATCACGTACAAATGGAATGCAGCACAACTTAATCTTTTTTTAAGGAAAACTTCACAGTACTTCCCAGTCTGGTCGCAATTTGGAAATTGCATACATTTTAGATCGACGGAAACACCTTTACTTGTATATGTGATTCTCTAGCAAAGGGGCATTTTAGGGCATATGTTAATTTTGTCATGGAGCGTCCGTTAGGGCTGCTCTAAAGATGTGACGTAAATCCTCTCCTGTTTATCCTTCGCATAAAACCAGTGATCTTCGATTGCCGCTGTGATATGCTTGACTAGAAGACAGTGCTGTAGATCTCAATTAACAAACAGATTACTGAGATAGCGAGGCTGGCCAACCGTTATTCAGTTGTTAGGGGACACTGTCCAATCAATGAGTTGTCTTTATTATTCTACCTCGTTCAGTGAAATTACATATATACCCTAAAGAACACATCGATGCATGATCGACAAAGTATAAAAGTATGTACTATATATATATATATATATATATATATATATATATATATATAGAACGTCAACTGCAATAACGACAATGAGCAAACTGCGCGACTCAACTGATCTTGGAAAAATTGGATCATTTGTCAGTGGCAAAACGACAAGTTTATCAACAGGGTGCGCTAACAAGCATTGTGATATTTAACCGAAAGCTTGGTGCTCTGAGTGGGATGAAAGGCTACATACTCTTAATAGCACACCTAAATAGATCTATATTGGTGTTAAACATACCGTATGCCGCCTTTAGAAGTAACCTTTAAAATAGTAAGATATTCTATTTCAAATGACATTTCCTTTGAGGCGACTGGGAGAACGCTTCGTTTACTCAATTCTATCACCTAATAAGGATTCTGAAACACTTTGTTTAAATCTACTTTATTTCACTTTCTAGGTAAAGATTTGAGTTAGCGAAATTTAGATGTACATCTTTTCAGGTACATTTGTTGAAACAATTTTTTGACAATATGCTTTTGCTATTCATTATAGCAATGGACCAGCGGTTGAAATTGAGAACGTGTGTGGTCAGCGGTGACATTTCGTCATCTTTCTATTACTACTTCTAGTTTTTTTTCTATTTAAAGAGTAGAAGCAATTTGTTACTGAAATGACACCAAACAAAAGTCTCATATTTTACTATAAACAGAAATCGGCCCACACACGCGGCGTTCATAGTATGACCGCTTTACGCTTCCATGAATGCTAGACTGCCATACGCTTTAATTGTAACGAGAGAAGAGTACGTTGGAGAGGGATCAACCCTTTCCCATAGTTGAGGGAGGGTTAAAAAGCAGGCCGCGCATTTGCTGGAGATGTCAGCACAGAAGGCGCCAATGTTGGACCCCAGATATTACCTTCGGATTATACCCGAATGCGCTCTGTGTTAATCCGCGTTCTACAACTGCACTATGAAGACAATCTACGTGCAGATAATATTTGTATAACGTGTGTGATCCACTAGAATAATCGTAAAAAAAGTTGGTAAAATCGAACATCGCTCAACCCAGGCGTTAAATAGCCTTATGATTGTGATAGCTACCACAAAAATTTCTGGTAATTTTGTTATGACTTTTCGCTTAAAACGTGTTTTTTAAAAAGTTTCTCACCTATTTGCTGTAGAATAACTATAGAAATACATAAATTATTTTTTTGCTATTCACTCACTAGTAAGGATTTATAGCTCGCACTAGGCTTACTTAATCAGACCGGGGGCAACACGTATACGCAACAAGCATATATGTACACACAATCAATGCACCGCTGATGGCCCTTCCACAAAACGTCTGCGTAAATGTGAAAAAGGTGCTTCGTCAGACATGAGGCCTGCGTGTCAAACATAAGGCTTATCAAGGTTGTTCAGAATTATATGCAGTACAATCTCATGTGAAATTTGCTAACGTGCTAGCTGTGACCGGTCCTGCTGATCTTATTCTTTGAGCCTTTAAGGTGTAGAACATACCTGAACTATAATAAATCGTTTGTTGTAGTGCGGCCGACCTGTGCTTGTGAATGGGAGTCTGAAACGAACCTCAATGCGATAAAGTGGTAGTCTAATTCAGTGTCGACGTTATCCATTCGTTATAGCGTTCCGTGAACTTACCGCTGCAGGGTAAAAGTCCAGCCGTTTAGTGAACGCAACTATCGGATATTTACGACAGTTCCTACAACTCTTCAGTTATCATTGCTGTTACAACTGAACATAGGTAATCAGTGCAGTGTAAATACATCTACGCTCGCCCTCGACTACAGCTGTCTTCAATGCCGCCCTAGCGTCTTGTTGTTTTGTTCTGTTATCATCTTTGCGGTTAGTGAGGTTAACTGGCATGCATCTACGGCCATCATGGACTTCCTGGCGTCCGTTGTGTCTTTAATTGTAACTGGATTAGCTCCACCCCACCGCGTCCGAAGAGGCACAACGCCGACAATGATGTCACAATCAATGGCGAGTTGTGTTCAATTCGTAACCCGGCTATTGGCTCTTGCAGTCACCCTTGCGATGTCCAGAGCACGAGCTACTACGCTTCTTGACACAAAGGGTACGTATGACATGTTGCCTTTTCCATCCAAACGCCATCCAGAGCTAGTGCAGAAGGATATCTAACAAAGACCAGAAGAACTTAACAAAATTGCAGGGGGCCAAAGTCACTTTGACTACGGTCAATATGATCTAATTACGATTATGCTGTGGCTTGTACGCTCATCGCCAGTACCTAATCAGATAGATTTACATCGAAAATGACCAACCAAGGGCAATACGTGTGATCCAGATAATGTTGTATGTGAAGGAGCGGGAAATTGTTGGCCGCGCCGTTTGCATTCGACGTTAACCTTTTTTCCTGTGCAAAATGTTAGTCTTCAGACCTGATCGACTTTGTCCCCGATAAGCCCTTTTTTCAATTCATTAATTCACTCTAGCGTATATATCGAGTGGGGAGCCTTTTTCTCACAACAGAGTAGCGGAACTTCAGCAGATCGAATAAGGACGATCTCGCTCTGGTTCAAAAATATGTTCAAAGGTGAACACAAGTTTTGTGTAATGCGAATATTGAAGATGCCCAAGCTCCAAGCTGCCTTAGAATATAGTCTACAATGACCGGAAAATCCAAGTGACTAAGCAAAGTTCTCAGGCACGTGCTAGTAACGCCTTTGGGACGAATACAACAATTACCTTAACACTTTTTTTGGCCTTAATTCTGCGTAGCCCGGAAAAGATTTTGGTCGGTAAGAGATTGTCAAAGACATTCACTTCAGCACTACACAAGGCGAAACAGGGCGAAATACTGCAGCAGAAATACTTAATGGAAAGATACCATGCCTATTCGCGGTTCTCTGCCGGATATCTTGATTGATCGAGAACTTGCTTTTCCCCGAATTAGGCTGTACAATCTATGAATGAGGGCTAAAAGGCAATTACGTTAAAGGAGTCGGTGTAGCTACGTTGCCGAACGTGTTTAGCTATTGTAAAGGTTTCAGTGCCAGCGCTATAACTCCTCTGATCGAACTCTAGTTCTACAATGTAAAATTACATATTCTCAATTATTCATTTATAGTCTATGTGTGGGTAGATCTTATATAGTGCCAGGCCCTGATGACCACGTCACGCGGTGTGATATATGTTCTGTTTCAATACAATTAATTAAGTTTACTATTAGTTCATGAATTCCGCTGAATAGAGCTTCTACGTTTTAGTATATTATACATCTCTACCATTGAAAATAAGTAAATATTGGCTTTTCCTTAACAAATAAACAATCGATAGAAGAAACCCAGCGGGTGTAGCTCGCTGGCTATAATTTGCGAGCAAATTAATTTAATAATCGGGCCGCATTTCAATAATCGTGCCTGTGATTTTTCTGTTTACTGTTGAATCAGTACTTATTTAATCGTGAAGTTCTGTAGCTAAGGGCAGCTGTGAGCAGTTGGAGTGTTTAGTAATTAGAGGACGACCTTTTTGATGCGACCCTATTTGATTACGTGCGTAAATTTTAAAGCAAGGGGGTCGACCTGTGCAAGATATGTGTGTGTTTACGCCAGTGTTGACGGCGTATTATATGAACCGAAACTCGTCACTGTTTCGATGCCGGACAGACGAGCAGATACTTCTATAGCGACATTCAGTGTTACTAAGTGACTTAATTCTGCCTATTATATGTATGAAAATTTGCAGTGCATTATAGATCTTAGCAATAATATGTCACGCTAGAGAATTTTGGTTAACAAGCATCACATATGTTGTGCATATACATCATTCCCAGTACTGCCAGTCATTTTGGAAGAGCGCAGAATTGATATCTGAAGTTTGAGCTCGAAGAAACATTTAGTGTGCACTTGGGGGTAAGTAGTTGTCTGTGTTTGATTACTCATTAAAATGTACTATACCTAAGAAATGCTTCTACATCATCTTATGCGCAACTTGTGAAACACAAATTTTGCATCAGTAAATTGAAGTTTTTAGGAGTAATTTTATTCCCTTAAGAAGTAGAAATTACGCGGAGGAAACTTCGGATCACGTCAAATTGAGCCCGTAGTATCATAGTAATGCCTGGTATTACACGGAAATAACGCTAGAAAGGCAACGATTATATGCAACTTCATTAGTACAAGGTTGACATCTATTATACCTTTACGTTTACTATGTACCCTATCGAACGACGCTTGTTTAAGATAAAACATTATTTGAGGGAGCTATCATTCTGTACCTTTTGCAAAGCAACCATACGGCATTATTTTCGCTCGTGCTATATATGATGTCCCTCAAACGCAGTATTATGTGTGCCTGTATTATGTTTAGTTTTCGAATCAGGGAATGCCGAGGAAAAGCAAGGCCGTACGATTTTTCGTATTTACCCTTTTATGTTTGGTAATTTAATTAGGATGATAAGAAAATGCTCAGTTTTCAGAAATTTTTGCTTCAGCCACATGGGCAATTGTTTGGCGAAGCCAATCTACGCTGGCGATAGTCAGAGTCTCCTTTATCACTAGATACACATACTTGGATTTGCAATTTCGAGTCAACATTACTAGGCCTGAAACAGGCATTCCGTTTTTCCTACAGCCTAAATATTTTATGAGTAATTAGTGTATATAAGGACGAGTTTTCGGCAGCGGAATCTCCAGCAATTTTAGGCAGCGCAACCAGTGACTTACGAGACAACTCATTCGTAGAAATTTAAAATACTCATAACATGACGGAACCCAGTTACTGAGATATTTGTTAAAGTATACTTTTAAGTCGAGAACACCTTTTTGTATTAACTACTGTTGTACTTTATATTTTTTTGTTATTTGCCTGGTCAGCCTTCTCTGCTATACAACTTATTATGCAGGACTATAGACCTAATAAGGAAAGTACATCCTCAAACTTAAAAATTAAATCTTAGGTGTCACGATACGCATGGAGGACGCTTTTTTTTACCCTTTTTTTTGTTCCGTGATTGAGAGAGACTGGGGTCGTTCTGTCAAGTCTTGCCAACGATACAAAAATACTAGATAACTTGTGCAAATAAAGTAATCCTATATATTGCTACCAAGATCGTCTACTACGTTCTCTAATATAATCTTGCGAATTCATGTATTTAATTGATGTAATTGGGAGCTTATACCCTGGAGATCTAGCCAGATCCATTAGGCTAAAACAAATCGAGAATACATTTTTCTTCTCGATGTTTGCTATATAGCAAAATATTTGACCAAATACAATCTAAATTAGGAAAGACAAACGTTGTACCACTCTAAATATACTCTGCATCATAAGTGATTAACTCACGCATCTTGGATTAACTCACACGCGTTTTGGTATGTGCTTGAAACACGATTACATCAAATTAACTGTAGCTTTGCACTATTATGGCTATATATTATTTTAAAATGATAGGAAACGTCATCGAATACAAACTTCTTAAATCCGAACCTTTCAGTGCTTGTCTATTCTACGCTTAATCCGACATCAGTTTCGATGATCCGAAATGACGAGAGCGAATTGGTTGTCGAATTTTTTTGCGAGCAGATGGCCTGCAGTCGGTCGTCCTTATCGCGGTTGTTCCCAGTTATGCGCGTGCTCTCGATATTCCGAATAGACCGCGCGAATAGCACACAATTGCCAAGATGGCAGAGCAGGACCCGTCGAACAATGCTCCCTAACTATAGGGAACGAAGTAACGAAAAGAAATTGAACTTCGCTTCCACCAATGAATTTCTTGGGAAACTGGCACTGCGCTTCCTGCGATCCCGATCGCCCCTAACACACCAACCCAACTCTTTTTGTGGTCGAACGTGAGTAAACATGGAACACAACGACAACAAAGGTAGCAATTCAGTACGGAAGCAATCGACTGTTTTCGGTACTTGAAAAAAAGAGGAAGGGTGTGCTTCTTGCTCCCGATCGTATTATTACGCCCGTTGTTTCGTGTGCCCAATTCACACAATCACGTGCAACATTTTCGCTCAGTATCTGTTACACATCAGACGCTATTTATTGTACGTGTTGATACTCACTGGACGGACCGTCATAGCGACTACGTTTCGGTGTCCCATTATATAACTATGATACATGACACATCTGCATCCACGGAATGAACTGAGCTAATCTTTGACTAATTGAGACAATTATTAGTGAGGACACAGTTATAAACTGTTGGGTTTTTGACGAACGATGTATCACATAGTTTCCACACAGGATGGTATGAAGAAACGCGCTTCTCTTACTGAACCTTACCCAACTAAGGCATTGCTCAAACGGCTTTAAGGAATTTTCTACGTAGAGTAGTCTACCTTCGGTCTACAGTACGAATTTACAAACTCAAGTACGTGCGCGTAATCTCGGTTTACTACCTATGTACAGTTCTATTGCTAGCACTTCATTACTACTACAGATGTTACTACGGGAACTGCGACCTCTAATAATTGACTGCAGACCCGAAATCTCAGAGCCGCAAACGAATGCTAATGGCAACACATCAATGACCTCCAACGACTAATGCCGAATCAACTTAGTGAACCCTCACCAACATGGAGTGCGGCCGCAGCTGCTGTGAATAGAACTCGATTGACAGACAGATAGGGAAGCGTGTATGTTATCGAAATGATTTTCTCATTGCTGCTGTTACAGGCTCTATTCTGTACTGACGCACTAAACGCAGCCATGTTAGATGGATCTCACAATCGCCCTGTTGAGGCTGAAGGAATGTTTACGGATGAAGCAAACAACCTAAGAACACGCCTAAATATAATTCGATCTCAAAGAAATTTCACTATGTGCTCTCACGCATCTGGCTACACTTTCAAGATGCGCGCTTGACAGAACAGGCATTCGCAAAAAAAGAACAAGCACTCGCTCTTCTTCTGGTAAAATAGTGCGTCAAGTACCTTTTGAGGTAACCTCGACCTATTTTTACTCCCTGATTTCTGATACTCTAGAGTTCTAGCCGAGGCTAAGTTGTGCAAACATGTGGCCATATATCACCATCTAAAAAAGAGTTTGCTACCGTATACCCATCTGCGGAAAAAACACTTGACGCCGAAAGTTTTCTATCTTAAA